GGCGGTCGCTTCGCCACGATGGTACAGTCGCGTTGCGACGATGGTATTCCTGCTCACTCGTGGCAGTTTTCCTGCCCGCTCTGCGTGGGTGGTGATTACCATGCTTACCACAAGTGTCCAGTCGATGTAGTTACTGGATTAATATAGAATCTTTCCTATCAATGCCCTCGTGCCAAGCTGTGTGCTACGCGCCAGAATCTTCACCGTTCCGCTGTTGGTGCCCGCTGGGTTTTGCGCGCTGTGGTCTATGCCTTTCAAAAGCTGGTGCCCGACGTGACATGTGCTGCGTTTCCTGTTGCGCGTCAAGAACTCCGCCTTTTCAATGTTGTTGCACGCTGTGTTTCCGGTTGCTGGTGCCCCGAATCGACATGTGCTACGCTTCCCACTGTCGATCGATCTCCGACTTGGACAGACTCTTTCGCGTGTATTGCGCCTTTGCCACGGATTGGGCCTGATGACAGGATTGCTGCCCAGATTCCACGGTCGTGTGTTATCCTCTCTCGGATGTTTCCTGTTCCCCTCCGTCCAGTGTAGGGCTGTGTTTCTCAGGGTCATTTGTAGGGTTGTGTTTCTCGCTGTTGTGTAGGAATGGTTGTCTGCTCCATTTCATTGACCTCTGATTTTCCCCTTTTGACAGTGGTCCGCTGTTTTATTGTCGCAGACATGTCTCGTGCATGGCTTGTGGTGTGCATGCTATGCCGCGGCAGGCTTGCAGCACAACCTTGGAAAGCATGGACTGTGTGGCGTCTAATACAATGCTCAATGAGGATTTTCCTCCACCGCACCTGCCAATGTGTTCACAAGATGTTCGAAGTGGTCACGATCATGTCGATAATGCTCCGGAATCTCCTGCTCGTAAGAGGTCACGAAATATTGTGTGTGCGGACACTACATGTGAAAGTGCGTATCCCGTCCTTCGATGCCCGGTTCGAACCTGTGATATAGAGAGTGCTCAAGGTCATGAGGGTAAGGCCTCCTCTACTGACAACGACGCATCCGATGTAGATCGTGTTATATGGGTGCCGATGAGTTCACTTCGAGATTTCGAGTACACATATCTTCTGTTTGGTGAGGGTGATGAAGGTGGTTCAGATTCAAGTGCTTCGGTGTCGTCTAGTGCTGATAGTTCTCCAGATAAAACCGATCTTCCGCAAACGTACGCTGACCGGAACAGTGACCACTGTTGTCGAAATGACGATGAGAATTGTGACGTAATCTCTGATTTCGATGACATTTTTTCAAAACGTCTGTCCTCAGAGAAGCGTCCTTATACTTTTCGTCTCAGAATGCTCCGGTCAAAGAAGATTCTGCAATCAGTTCATAGAAAACTCACCAAAAAAACATTGGCGAGTGTGCGTGGGCAGGTTTGCTGCAATCAAATGACCCTGGACGACATCAAAGGTGTCCGGAGCGCATACTACTCTAAGAACCAGCAGAGCAGGGATGCGTGGTGGGTTGAAACGTTGAAGAGGTTCACCTTCATAGAAGATGAAAAGGAGATTGTTCAACCTATTGTGGGGAGACGAAAGGTGTGCATTACTGCTTGGTATTTCACACTGGGTGTATGTAGGAATACATTTCTCAAAAAAAGGATGACTTTGTCAAAAGGCTACAATATGCCGGAGCATGGCAGTACTGGACTCAAACGCACATCAGCAACATATGCAACGATGTACGGAAAACTAAGCTCCTTCGTGCGAGACAACAGAGATTACATGCCTAATGACATAAAGACCAAAGAGGGGGAATTAAGAGTGGTGTTGAGATTGCCTGCTTGCTATAACAAGGTTGATATTTATAAGTTGCTAAAGTCGCAATTCGACAATACGGGTGCTCCTTGTGTTTCTCTCCAAGTTTTTTACAACATGTGGAGAACGCAGTTCTGGCATGTGAAATTCCATGACATTGATCAAAACTTTGCGAAATGCAAGAAATGTGTTGAATACAAAAAATCTATCAATTCCGCAAAGTTTGTGCGTGTGCGTGAGTACTTTGTTTCGTTACGCGAGAAACACTTGGACTTGCAGCTCCAACATCGTGCTGCGAATGAGGTGTGGAAGGATGAGTCGAAGAGACTGGGTTCCAACAGTTTGTGCATCATCATTGACGGCATGGACCAAAGTAAGACCAACATTCCACACTTTGGCGGAGAGAACAAATCGAAAGCATTCACAAATATTCCGATGTTGAAAACGAATCTAACAGCTATTATTGCACACGGCCGCTCACCATCGGTCCATGTTCACACATGGTACCCTTGCTATCCACATGACTCTAATGTTGCAGTGACATCCATTATGAAAGTTCTCCGCGACATCCAGGCGACGAGCGACTTGCCTCCTAAACTGAGGATACAAGCTGACAACTGTTAGAGAGAAAACAAAAACAGATACGTTTTGGCACTCGCTGCAGCTTTGGTAAAATTTGGTTTCTTCAAAGAAGTCGAATTCAGTTTTATGTTAGTGGGACACACACATACGGACGTTGATGCCACTTTCAGTCATTTCTCTCGCAAACTGAAAATGCACGATGCATATACCATGCTCCACCTCTTCAAGCACGTTGCCAGTTCTCAAAAAGAACGTTCATCGTTCACATTCATGGATGAAATTGTTAATAGGTGAGCTGCTGTTAAGCCCTTCCTGGTCAAGAGACTGAC